CCCGCTGCGGTCACCCTCCCGGGCCCTGCCCCGCCGGGGTCACCCTCCCAGGTCCACTGTCCCCCAGGAGCCAACTTCTCAGGTCCCATCTAGCCAAGGGTTACCTTCGCATGTTTCTGGTTCGGGGATTGCCTTCTTGGGTCGCTTGTCTGTCTTGGGGTCACCCCTGGTCCTAATGGACCTCATAGCTCTGGCCAAGGAGTTGTGGCCGGCAGAGGGCACTAAAAGACCTGTATAACTGGGGCCAGACCTGATGGGCAGGGGAGCCCTGAGTGGGCAGGGACGCCGTGGTGGACAGTGGAGCTCAGGTGGACACGGCGTCCTTGAGTGGGTAGGGGCACCCTGATGGGCAAGGAAGTCCTGAGTGGGAAAGGGTGCCCTGGTGGGCAGGGGAACCATGTATGTCAGGGGAGCCCTGTCTGGCCCCCAAATCCATGGACTCATGGCCACGTTCCACATCCTACAGCTCTGGGAAGCTGGGGTGGTGCGGGTGGTTCCTCTCCGCCAGGCTTCCACATCCTGCCCAGTTATCCATCCTGTCTCTGAAGGAGACACTGCATTGTCTCCCAGGAGGAATCCTTGTGACATAGGAGCTCATGGGTATCAGGCAACTCACAGTGCTTTTCTCATATTGGGTGTAATGACCCTTTGTACTTTGTGAGGAATTTCAATCTAAATTGTCACATGTATGTTTGCCAGGTTGTTTATTATGTTCCCTTATGATCCTCCTGTCTTGATGTAGAATCCCGCCTACCTGCCTTATTATATCTGTGTTTGCTTGTCCTTATGGTTTGCTCTCTTTTTAAAAAAAATAAATAGGCTCCAGGCACCTGAAGGAGACTCGAGGACACGAAGCGCTGTCATCCGGGGGCCCTCTCTGCCGCTGCCCTGTGCTCCATGTGGAAGATGCTGTCCACCGTCTCTCGCGTGTTGTCGGGTATTATCCAGAAGCCGGCAGGCAGAGTGCTCGTGGCATCTCGTCACTTTGCAAATGATGCTACATTTGAAATTAAGAAGTGTGATCTTCATCGGCTGGAAGAGGGCCCTCCTGTAACAACCGTGCTCACCAGGGAGGATGGGCTTAAATACTACAGGATGATGCAAACTGTCCGCCGGATGGAATTAAAGGCAGATCAGCTGTATAAACAGAAAATCATCCGTGGCTTCTGCCATTTGTATGATGGTCAGGAAGCGTGCTGTGTGGGCCTTGAGGCTGGTATCAATCCCACAGATCATCTCATTACAGCCTATCGAGCCCATGGCTTTACCTTAACTCGTGGTCTTTCCGTCCGAGAAATCCTCGCAGAGCTAACAGGACGAAGAGGAGGTTGTGCTAAAGGAAAAGGAGGGTCCATGCACATGTACGCCAAGAACTTTTACGGGGGCAATGGCATCGTGGGCGCTCAGGTGCCCCTGGGAGCCGGCATTGCTCTGGCCTGCAAGTACAATGGCAAAGATGAGATCTGTTTGACTCTCTATGGGGATGGTGCGGCTAATCAGGGTCAGATATTTGAAGCTTACAATATGGCAGCTTTGTGGAAACTGCCTTGTATTTTCATCTGCGAGAACAACCGCTACGGAATGGGAACGTCTGTGGAGAGAGCGGCAGCCAGCACCGACTACTACAAGAGAGGAGATTTTATCCCTGGACTGCGGGTAGATGGAATGGATATCCTGTGTGTCCGGGAGGCTACAAAATTTGCAGCTGCCTATTGCAGGTCTGGAAAGGGGCCCATCCTGATGGAGCTGCAGACTTACCGTTACCATGGGCACAGTATGAGTGATCCTGGAGTCAGTTACCGTACACGCGAAGAAATTCAAGAAGTGAGAAGTAAGAGTGATCCTATTATGCTTCTCAAGGATAGAATGGTGAACAACAACCTTGCCAGTGTTGAAGAATTAAAGGAGATTGATGTGGAAGTGAGGAAGGAAATTGAAGATGCAGCCCAGTTCGCTACAGCTGATCCTGAACCACCCCTGGAAGAGTTAGGCTATCACATCTACTCCAGTGAGCCACCTTTTGAAGTTCGAGGGGCAAATCAGTGGATCAAGTTTAAGTCCATCAGTTAAATAGAGACTGCATGGAAGTCATGTTACTACCCCTTCATTGTATGTAAGCTACTGCTTGTGTTTTGAGGAGAAATAAATAAAGCCTCTAAAACAAGTCTTGTATGTGTCATTAAGAATAAATACTGCATAGATTAAAGGGTATTATTGGCATGCAGTTTCTGCGTCTTAGCATTTAGTGTGAAACGGTCAAGATTCTACATTGATCTGAAAGTCTTGGTGTTGCAGTGTTCAGAAAGGTGTGCAGTCCACTTTTCGAGCCTCATTGAGTGGTAAAGATACACAGCCTCTGAAATCCCCTAGGGTCATGATGGTCATCGGCATATGGCCATCCCTTAAATTCTTAAATGTAGCTCCATACGCTTCAATTGCTAAAAGGGGAAAACAAAACCCTCTGTGTATGCTACTTTCTGGGGCAGGAGGATCCAGACCCTGATGTGAGTGCTTGGTAGACCTTGAATAACCAGCATCACCTCCCTGTGCTTATCCACATGGTATGTACTATGTTAAGGTCAAGTTACTAATCCCTCAAAGCATAAAAAAATTTCATTTTCTCCATATTGATGTTCAGCATGAAAAATAACTTTGTTATTTACATAGATATCAAATAAATGCAAAGCTTATTTTCCCCTAAATAATTTGTTTTAAATATATAAACTGGTTTACTTACAAAGTCGTTATACATCGTTTTTCATAGCAGATCTTTCCCATTTCCTTTACCAATGCTCCCCTCTCCCAGCACATTGTACAACCCTATGATTAATCCCCCTGCCCATCCTCACCCCTCTGCTCCCACCTTCCCCTCCTTGGATCCTCATACATGTTCTACTATAATGATCTTATGCAGTATTTGTCCTTATGGGACTGACTACTTAATAATTATTTTAAGATTTTTGTAAAAAAAATTATTTTATACCAGTTTATTTACAAAGTTCAAATGCATTGTTTTTCACACTGCATCTTTCGTATTTCCTTCACACACACTCCTCCAACTCATCAAATTCTGTGGCTCTATAATAACCCCACCATCCTCACCTCTCTGCTCCCACCCCCCCCACACATACACACACCTTGTATCTTTGTGAATTTCTGGCTGTACTTATGTCCTCATTCTGTAATAATAGTCTTATACAATATTTGTCCTTATGGGACTGAGTTCACTTCGCTCTCCAGTCCCTCCCAAGTTAGATAGTAATTTACAAAGTCATTACGTCGGCATGCTACATAGTATTCCATCATGTGAATGTACCATAATTTCTTTTTTTTTTAATTTTTTTTAAAATTTAGGTTATTTTTCATTTCAATGAACATCTACAGAGATTTTGGGATTCCATTCATTCATTGTTG